CCCTTCTTGGGTACCCTAAATATTGGCCGCCTTATCGTAGTAACCTTAAAGGGACCATGACGTAAAGAAGTGACCAGAGTACTTGAAAAAGTCCCAGATTCCTTCTGCGTCAAACCCTGCGCGTCGTGCGTCCACAACTTGACATCGACCGTCGAATACCTGGGCTACGTCGAAGGAAGCGACCCCCCATGGCCGACGGTTGCACGTAGGGTTTAGGGTTTAGGGTTTAGGAACTGTATGATCCTATGCTACTCTGACTCTAACTACCCTCCAGTGTTCCACACAAACCCCCTCAACGCTTCGATCAACAGCTCATCCAAGCCGCACGTTGCTCCAGTTCGGATGGTGATCTGCCTATGTCGCAACTTAGCAGGATGTCAAGCTAGTGCTGGGCCAGGTCAAGTCCATACGAGCAAAGGAGGCCGGTAAGTAGGACCTTCATGCTACCGCTTCATGGTTCGAGAGCTCTATGATGCGACCCCAAGTGACTTTGCAAGGTAGATAAGACTTAACGACCCCTGCTGGGCGTTTGCAAAAAGCACCCGAAGATGGCAAACTTCATAATCAATCCATGTGCAGAACTCCGGCCGCCCCTCCAAATTCCTAGAGTTGGTGCATGTACGCCAGGACCTGCAAACGTACACAAACTTGGTGAACCTGCTGCTCTGTTGAAGACATACACCGCAAGCTTTTTTTGGCAGTGTCATGCTCGCTGTCATACTTCTCGAGACTTTGCAAGCTGTGACAACCTGTGAAGCAACAAGAGATGCTCCAAAGGCGAGCTAGTTTAGGGTTTCGGGTTCAGAGTTTCGGATTTAGGGACCGGACCGTGTTGAATTCCAATACTTCCAGGACGAACTATCCCATACAGCCACTACATGGTTGGCCACCAGCCTTGTCGGCTGCAATCGCCACGCGCGACATGAACCTGCAGGGTGCCACAAAAAGACCATCTGGGTCTGAGTCTGAACAGTTGTCCTTCCACAGAACTGCAGAGAATGTCGGGGCAGCCCCAAACCCTAAACCCTAAACCCTAAACCCTAAACCCTAAACCCTTCAATGTCAACATCAAGGATGTCGGACCTTCCTTTACCCTGAATGCCGGTGGCGAATCAGCGAAGAGGAAAGACGATTCTGCTGAAAGTGCGCATGACACAGCAGTTGTGAACAAAATCACCCAGCTGTGCAGCACTCAAAGCAAAACTGCTACGGCAGCAGTGTAAGCCTCAATGCAGCAAAAAAAAAGTCTCCGATACTCGTTGGACGTGACCGAGAGAAGCACTTGAAGCCTCCATGCAACCTCTGATGCGAAACCTGACCCTGCGTTGAAATTAAGGGCAAACATCTCAATCAATTACGGGGCAACCTGTGAACCCCCAATGGCAACCTCAGGAACAAAATACATTACATCTGGGAGAAAGCGGAACGCTAAGCTACTGTAAGCCTACCGGCAGAAGCCCTCTAATGTAGGGGGTGGGAATAATTCCGAATACTATTCCCTTATGGGTCCTTTTGTATTTATACTATAATAGCCCCAAAACCCCATTCTAATTCCGTAACCCCTAAAGCCTAAACCCTGAACCCTAAACCCCAAACCCTAGACCCTAAACCCCAAAACCCTATTTTAATTATTCAGGCCCCATCAAAATTATACCCACCGAGCAGCCCGAAGGCAGCACCAAAGCTGCGAAACTGGAAGACTCGCTCCAAGCCTTCATCTGAAGGGTTTAGGGTTTAGGGTTTAGGGTTTAAGGGTTTAGGGTGGGTTTAGGGTTTAGGGTTTGGGGGTTTAGGGTCTAAGGTTTGGGTGGGTTCAGGGGGTTGTAGGCTTGAGGACGGCGTTCAGTGCTTAGAACTAAACCCTAGACCCTAAACCCTAAACCCTAAACGCTAAACCCTAAACCCTAAACCCTATTTTCGGGAAGAATAGGGGCTGGGCTCGCTGCTCAAGGTCACCAAGGGCACGGCCCTTCTATTTCGGCAGTGGGGTCCTTGCAGGCTTCGACATGGGAAACCCGAAACACCCACAACCCTAAACCGCGACGGCGCCAGAATCCAATACCCCTTGATTGAGGGAAAGCCCGATAGTTGCGTGAGTACTTATAACTCTGCTTCTACGTAGGCTACAACTACAGTAGTCCGTGGTGCTAGCCCTCTTTAGGGCACGCAGAGCCCTACCTAAAACAAAAACATGGACAACTCCACCAGTTGCCAGGTTGGCCCTGGTAGTACGCTTGAAACCCGATAAAAAGCAATCATCACACATCTCCCACGGCCTACCCAGCTCTTGGAATCTTAGTACAGTAATTTCTACTGACCCTAAACCCTAAATAAACCCTAAACCCTAAACCCTAAACCCTCAACCCCCCAACATTTTTTCCGGTCGTCGAGGTCCCGGCGCTCGGGGCTGCCCTCAGGAGCTGCCCTGTGCGGGATCATGTTTGGGTTTAGGGGGGGGCTGACATCACTTGGGTCTAGATTAGGGGTGCTGTGTTGGGATCCTTATTATCAAGGGATCCTACTATTTGGGGTCTATACTCGGGGTCCCTTACTTTCGTAAACCCCCACAAGACTGTGACTTTGCATGAGCTTTCGGCAAGAACAGCAGCTGGTTGAGCTTGAACGATCCGGAACAGCACCACAAGCTGGAACTGGCGACTGTTGTGCTAACCCTCTGAACCCTGAGTCTGACAAACTCTGCAACCTACAAACCCTAAGTCCTTCAACCCTAGAGAGCAAGATGATGGGCGCTGGTTCTCAACAGCCTCCATGAAGGGGAAAGCTTTGCCAAGGCCCTGGTGACCTGCCAGATGCTTGGGACAGGGTTAATGAGCTAGGTGATAGTGTTCAAGGTGCACAAATATCTGTTTTTTTTTGAATAGGTCCCTTTCAAGAACCAAAAAGGGAAACTAAGCAGTTTGCAAAGTGCCACCCAGTGAGAATTTAGGGCACTGGGTGGCTTCAAGGTTCAGCGCTTCGCCTTTGGGCTGCATGATGCCGAAGAGGCTCGGGCTTAGAGCCGCTTAGAGCTCGGAGTTTAGGGTCTACAGTTCGACATATGCTGTGTGTGTGGGGGGGGGGGGGAGGGGATTGACAAGTCTGAAAAGTGCGAATGGCAGGGAGAATTGTGCAACCCCTAAGCCCTAAGCCCTAAACCCTAAACCCTAAGCCCGAAGCCCTGCGCCCTAAACCCTAAAGATACGGAGTCAAGGGCTTCGGGCTGAGTTTCACTGTGCACATGTCGGACGTGGGATATGGATGAGCCTAATTAGTTTGGTGACGTTAGGAACTTATGTCTGGCGTTTCCGAAGATAGGGCTGCCTTTTTTTTTTTTGGGGGGGGGGGGGGGGGGGGTTCGTACAAAAGGGATTATAGTGCATTGCTGGGCGAGGGGGTTGCCGGGTTACCCCATATATTCCGAAATACTCATTCTGTCATTTTGGGCCTGGGGCACTCGGAACTGTAAGATTAGTGTTTGCATGGAAAGCCTTGCGATGAGCGACACGAGCCATATAACCACAGGAATGGCTAGCTTTCACTGGCTCATGTGGGTATTTTCCAAAATACGGTTGCCCTTAATATTCCCCCAAAGTAGCATATAATCCTTATTATAGGAATCCCCCCAAAAAGACTACCCCTATTTTCGGAAACCCCATGTCTAAGTGACTCGCACATGCTCCTAGGGTGATCAAGTTCATCTCGCGCCTCCTCGCCAGTCAAGCGCACAGGCGCCTGGGCGAGGTGCTGCAGCGAGCGCCGGAACATGGCAGCAGCTGGTCACAAAACCCTTCCCAGGGAGAGCTCCAACTAGGGGGGCGCCTGAAGCATGTCACGGTGTGTGCGACTGAGCATTTAGGGCTGGACTGGATGGCAAGTGCACGTCTTGAGCCCAAATGCAGCTGGCTCGCTTCCCTGCAAGTACATGAGGCCTGCAAGCTAAAATGCAAAGTCCTTAGACGGCTTTCTTCACCCCGCTCTCTTCTGGAGAACCCAGAGGACTCCTGAACATGAACAGGCTATCAGGCATGACGTGGCCACTTCTCTCAATTCTGCCCTATAACCATGTACCCTCATCCGCCTTCGCACTGCAGCTCTGTCCACTTCATCTGCTCAATCTCGAGCAGATGAAGGTCGCCGTAGGCCTGCTCAAACGTACCCTAAACCCTAAACCCTAAACCCTTAAAGCTCGGGGATCCCAGGAGCCCCAAAATTGGCAGCTTTGGGGCTGGTTTGGGTTTGGTTTGCTAAGGGTTTCGCGACGTTGTGGGATGTCGGGTTTAGAGTTTTGCTAAGATGTACCTCTAGCTGAAGTGGGGTACGAACAAGCAAGCAAAGCAACATCATTCAACCTCATGGTGTGACCTTCAGGGCAACTTTAGGGCGGACTGCTTGGAAGCTCTTTTGGCTTCGTAAGTAGGGTAAGTAAGTTGGATTGTGGAGGTTATAATGGGGTTTCCAGGGGATACTAAGTAGATTTAAGTACTAATTATAAAGAGTTTCCAAGTAGGCACCAGCACAGAACCCTAAACCCTAAACCCTAAACCTCAACCCTAAACCCTACATCACCTTTACTCGGACTCGAACCTTGGGTCTCCACATGACACGATTGACCTTGCCTAACCCCATGACATAAGGGGGTTCCAAAAACAGGGGTACCCTTTTGGGGGGGGTGCCTTTAAGGGGATTCTATCTATTTGGGGTATAGACAGGGGTACAACTATTTTAGGAAGTGCCCAGAAGACACCGCTGTGCCCGTCTTTCTCTTGATGCAGGTTGGAAGCCGGAACCCGCATTTGGACAATCTGCTTCTCGACATTGCCAGCAGCCCAAGGCTAAACCGAAACGGTGCCAGGTCCGTTTGGTGGATGAGCCTGCGAGGTGTCTAGGCCTCGTGTCGTGGAGCTTCAGGTCAGCACCGGCGCAATCAGCCCCTGAGAAACTTCATCATGGCCTCGCTCAGCGGTAACATGCGTCGGCGAATCACGTCTGCACCTGTTGCATCAATCAGTTGACAAGTTCGACATGGCCAAAACTGCGAGCATCACGGGGGACTGCCTCCCGCCCGCTTCACGCAGCGAGCGGACAACTTCAGTATGGCCTTTGAGAGCCGCAACGACGAGCGGCGTGTATTCCTGCGATTCTGATCGCCTTCTCCATTGTGTGGTGGCTTTGTGGATGTCAGCCCTCGCCTGAATCAGCAACTGCACCACTTCAAGGTGACCCCCGTGAGCTGCGTAGAACAAAGGAGTCGAACCCTTGTCAAGCGTGGCCAAGTTGATGTCAGCTCGAGCATCTATCAACAAACCGACGCCGTCCACGTGACCTCTCGAAGCTGCTATCAGCAACGGTGTCCAACCTTTAGCATTAGTGTCTCGTGAATCTTTGATGGTGTCTGCTTCTAGTAACAGCCGCATTGACCCCACATGTCCATTTGCAGCCGCGTGATGCAACGAAGTTCGACCATCATCTTCGGATGTCGCATTGGGATTTCGCGGGTGTTGAAGTAAACGCTCAATCACCTGCACGTCGTTGTTCGCGGACGCAGCCATCATCTTGCGATCTTCTTCCAGATCTGCCGGCAAATAGTCCAACAGCACCAGGTGAACACTCACAGCTTCCGAACCAAGAACTTCATCATCGCGAATTTCTCTGGACCAGTCTTGCAGCCAAATCCTCTGGCGAAACCTAGAGATGCCAATCCGATCTGACAAGGCTTGCTTGATCTGCCTACCAGTTTTACCCTCACGCTCATCAAGAAACGCAAGTTTCTCACCGGACACTGCCGAGTACACAGAGCACATTGGCTCTGCCTGGCACTGTTGCCGCACTGGGGCCTGAAAAATTCCACCCTGTCTCTGCACGACTTGAGCAACAATGTCAGCAAGTGCCTAGGCTTTGCAGAAAAAAGATCCGAACTGGGCCAAACGTCGGGACACAGCTGAGTTTGACGCCGCCCTATCCCTCATTTCTGTCCGTCCCCTCTCCTTTCGATTGGTGGCAGCCCGATGGGTATCTTAAATATGCACCTGCGCATGTGGAGGGCCAAACAGCTGCAGTGCGAAATTATACGAACAAAAACAGAAGAGCTCGACCAGGGTTTAGGGTGTCTTCAGGTCCTGCCAAGAGTACCCTACCCGTGCCTGTGTACGTACATATATAAATGTGTGCACACTGTATGTGTACATACAGGTAAAACAGTATGTGTAAGTATGTATACAGATGTATACAACATATGTGTGCATGTAGATGAATAAACAAAAGCATAAATAAAAAGAACTATAAATATAAATAAATATAAAAAGAATTTACATATAAATATACATATAAAATATAAATATAAATATAAATATAACTATAAATATAAATATAAATATAGATATCAATATGTGTGTGTGTGTGTGCGACTTCTTCAGGAACATCTCCCAGGGCATTTTGGGGTTCAGGCGTTTCGGACTCCAGCAGAAGCAGGCTTCTCGAATCTGCGTGCCTTCTTGTCATCGCATCCCCCGTGTAGGTACCTGGCGACTGGGCACACCCTAAACCCCATACCCTCAACCCTACATGACTAGACCCAAGAGTATCCTGGGAATAGAAAGGGGTATCCTTTTTGGCTCTCCGAGGCTCATGTGGGAACAAACCCTAAATAGGGAATAGGGGCCTATGCTGGGTCCTAGAAGAAGCTTTCACTATAAGTCCGAATCTCTGACTAATCCGCAAGAAAGGGATTATGGTCCCAGACATAATATACCCTACAAGGGATGATAGCAGCGCGCTTCCGGGGGCCTTGGTAATTCGAATAGGGTTTTGGGGGTCAGTATAGTAGAAATTATACAGAGACCATACAGGGAATACTGCTAGTACTTATTCCGACCCCTATGGTACACGATGAATTCTGAATCTTTGAGGCGAGGACGACTCCGGGTTTTGCCCCTTGAAGCCAGCTCCAAAAATGAGGGGCGACAATCTGCGGGTCTTTCCTGTAGGGTTTAGGGTTTAGGGTTTAGGGTGTAGGGTTTAGGGTTTAGGTTTAGGGTTTAGGGTCAAAGGTTTATCGGGTTTAGGGTTAAAGGTTTATCGGGTTTAGGGCTTTTAGGGAAGGTTCAAGGCTTAGGGTTTCAAAAGCTCCTCCCTGACTTGCCAGGGCACATCCTCGTGTTCATGGTGACCTTGGTTTAGGGCTCGTGCAGATGGGCATTTCCGAAAATACGGGTACCCCTAATATACCCCCCCAAATACTACAATCCGTATCATAGTAACCCCAAAAAGGGTACCCCTATTTTCGGAAACTCGCAAATGGCTTTAAGCTGCAAACGCCAAGTGCTCAAGGCCAGGTGGTTGGATGAAGGTTCATGCCACCCCGAAAAGATCCAAGCGCGTGTATGGGGAATACTTGCGCCGCCAAAATATTTAGCACATAGCCACTTCTAGGTCTGAATATCCACTATACGGCACGATGTTCTACTGCCGCCGCAGCAGCAGGTGCTGGAGGAAGCATCTTTTGGAAGATCTCAAACGCGCATGTAGTATGGGTACCTGTAGCCTTGGCTGCCTTATGGGCACCTCCGGCTTGGTGTCGGCAGCGAAGCTCCGAGTTGTCTAGGGTTTAGGGTTTGGGGTTTAGGGCTTAGGGTTTAAGGTATGGGCATAGGGTTTAGGGAACCCAAAACCCGCTTTTGGGGAAGCCTGGCAGGTAAGCAACGGGCTGTCTGGGCGCCACATCGAGCTGTGGGGATGTCCTCAGCAAGATGTACAAGGTGCTGCACCAATCAATAACCTAAACCCTAAACCCTACAGCTCTATAAAACCCCTAAACCTAACGGTAGTCTTTAGAAGAGAAGAATATTGGTACAAAGAACCCACGATCACACCTGGGAGAGCGGCTTGTGCGACATGCAGCTATCGCAAAATGTCGCGATGCCCGAGTGCGCGACCCCATGCTGCTTCAGGTCACACACAGAGAGCACCTCAGCTCTGGGGTTCAGCATCAGCGAGCAACTCGTGTGGGTTGCGAGCACGAACTCAAAGCCTGCGATCACGCTGCACAGCAGCCACTAGCTACTTGGGAGTGCAGTAGCTTACTCGCGTGCATCCGCGCGTCAGGTGCCCAACTGTCTGTGAGTGGCTGACACCCCCTTGACAGATGTGCAGACTACGAGGGCCCTGGCCAAATTTCGCACGGGATGCTCATTCTCCTGGTCGTCTTCCATGACACCCTGCAGAGCCGAGGGCTGATTTGAAGGCGGAGGAGGCAGCTGAGGGTCGGGGATTCGGGTTTGAGGCAGGGTTCTGCGCTTGGCGAACTTGAGGAGGTATGAGATGTACTTTGCAGAACACTTGAAGTCTTGCAAAGCACAGCAGGCTCTCTTTGAGCGTACGCATACCTGTGCGACGGAGAGCTCAACAGGCTCCTAAAACCCCTTGAGCTCCAATACCCTCTGCGCCCTCAACTCTCCAAATTCGAATCGCCTTCAGCCCTTCACCCTGAACATAGAAAGCCTACGCAAATACAACCTAAAACATCGACTCCCAGACCCCGAAACGCCATGGAAGCGCTCCAAAAGCGTGCGGCCGGAAGCACCCTAAACCCTAAACCCTAAACCCTAAACCCAAAACCCAAAACCCAAAACCCTAAACCCTAAACCCTAAACCCTACACCCTAAACCCTAAACCCTAAACCCTAAACAAAACCCGAAACCCTAAACCAAATATAGCCTCCCCCAGGCGCCTCTCGGAAAGAAAGGGCAGTGAGGAGTCGAAGCGCAAGGTCGCTCCCCCCCCCCAGCCGAAGAGAATAAGCTGTCGGGGAGCGAGGGTTCGAGGCTTGAGGGGGTTTAGGGTTTAGGGTTTAGGGTTTAGGGCTAGAGTTGCGAGGGTCGGGGTTTGGGATTTGGGCGGGGGGTCGGACTGGGGGCTCAGGGCTTTTGGGAGGTTCGGGGCCCTTTGGGTTTGAGTTTTTGGTCGGGGAAGTGTAAGGTTGGGTACCCAGAGACTCCAAAACCCCTTCATTAAGGAACATACCTTTAATTTGGGTTCCTATTCTAATTTAAGGCATATTCCTTAATTAAGGGGTTTTGGAGTGTCTGGGTATCTCGACGTAGAGGCTTGCGTAGGCTTTGCTTGGGCTGCCCGGAGGGCATGAGGTTTAGCGCATGCTAAGCAGCAGCAACAACCCTAAACCCTAAACCCTCTGAACCCTCAACCGTTCATGGCACCCTTTTCCATATTGTTGGGTGAGTAAACCAGCACAACACCTGCTTAGCCTTTGAGCCCTATATTTTGTCAACCATAAACCCAAAACCCGATAACTAAAAAGCCCTCAACCCTCCCTACACCCCAGGGTTTAGGGTTTAGGGTTTAGGGTTTAGGGCACCCTAAACCCAAAACCTGCAAACCCTGCAAAAGCTGTAATCCCTTCAGCCCTGTAAAGTCATAGGCCACCCCCAGCATAGGCCAACCTGGGCAATATCTATCATGAGAAGGCCTCCGGTTTCCGTTCAACTCAGGGTTAGGGTTTAGGGCTTAGGGCTTCGGGCTTCGGGTTTGGGGTACATAGGTCAACAGTCCAGGTCTATATACTTTGGAGGTCGAGGAAAAGCCTAAGCTTAAACCTCAAGAGCCCTCAACCCTAAGCCCTAAGCCTTTCAAATGCGATTGTGGAAGCATGGCTGGATTCTCGCAGCCGACCGGCGGAAGACAAGTGGAAATGATGAGTAGAGGTGGATCTCATCTTGTCTGCCAAATCTGCTGTCAGCTCCATGCCCGCCCCTGATGACATCAATCAAGTTGCTAGCTAGGTGACTTTTGAAGCACTCGGACTTAGAACACTGTTCTGGGTGCGGACAGCATGAGTTCAAAACACGACTGGCGACAGCCCCCCTGCCCGAAGACATGATAGCGCTCAATTTGTGACGTGCCCCAAAAGATGGCATCGGCGCCTCCCTGATGAAACATAAATGCTGTGCTCGGCGGCGTTTACGTTGAGCAGACCGATTTTCGCAGGTGTGACGTCTCCTGATGGCCTTCGCTGCTAGTTGCATACCTTCAAACCCTTGCATTGCATAAGAGAGGCTTTCTCCGGCTCGTATCGGCGCACTTAGTAAGTAGGGTTATAAGTACCTTACTTAGGCTTGTAAGTAATTATAGATACCGATACCTTACTTGCAACCCCACGTGCTAAGTCCCCTGATCCTTTAGGAACTTCTCACGCTAGCAGAGATCTGTTGAGGGCACTCTGGGCAAGGAGGCTGGCCTCTGCCCGGCACATCTATGCTCCTGGCTTCTGACTTCCCGGGCCATCGCAGGGCCATTGCATCTTCATGGTAACATCTCACGGGTTCAAGTGGGTGGTTGTCAAACTTATGGTCCCTTTTGGGGTGCCGTATTATAATAGGGATCCAAAAAGGGACCCTAATTTTGACAGCCACCCACGTGAAAGAGACCAGAAGGTCGATTGGTCCCTGTGTAGCTGAACTTCTGGTGATGCAAAACAGCCCGGTGCAGTTGTCATCCACTGTTAAAGGCACGCCTGTCTGCTCTCCCTGTCAGAATGCTGTTCTAGACCCGGCAGTAGCCTAGGAATAAACAGGGTACCCTGTTTGGTGTTAAGGGGAATATCCGGGAACCCGAACCTAAAAAAAGGAAAACAGGGCCTACTCCCGGCCCTAGTGTTCGAAATTGCTTCGTGCCCAGGAAGCAATCCGGCGCAAGAGCTGTGGTGCCGAAGCAGGCAATAGCTGAGAGCGATCTTGAGGACACGCTGTCGGACACGCCTAAGCCTTCAGCTCCAACCCCTAAACGCTCCCCTAAGTCCTAAGCCCCTATGTCCTAACCCCTCAATTTCCCTGATTTCTAGGCCCGGGCTTCATGAAGCTGAAGTCCCCAAACCCAAATAGCCCACTAGAAGCTACGAGGAAAAAAGACGGGTGCCCTGTCTTGACCTAGACTGGTTGCGAAGGAGCCCGTACCCAGGTGTCCTCAATATCGCAGAAAAAACATGAGCAGCTGCGCCAGGAGCATGGCAACTCCGAGAGGCTTTGGCGATCATGTTCTCCAGCTGAATCCCAGCGCGCACATCTAATCACGCGCCTGCACGATACGACAGCGGTGCAAGTGACCGAAACCTCCAAGGCCTTTCCTGCAGGTTTGCAGAAGCCTCATGTGCCAAATGCACAACTGCTGCTGCTACTGCTGATTCAAGACTTCCAGCACCACCACTGCTTATCACACTACTTCTTGGCGTGCTACTTCCGCTGGTGCTACTACGACAATGAATGGACAACCACCCCCATTCGGATCCTTTCTGCTTCTGCAGGTGCTGCTGCACGCAGCACCAGCTGCACCAGCACCACCCTAACTCCTGCCCACAATACTACCACCTAAGCTATGATCGCAATGCGTCGGAATGCCTTGACCTGGCTGTGAAAAGTTTGTCAAGTGAAACACTAGACTTCGAAGAGCGCTTGCATTCACGCAGAATTGAGCACTTGAGGCGATCACAAGTTCAAAAGCTTGCCCTACATAGAGCGTCTGGCTTTCGCTGACTGCATCAGCTCCCCTTATGATAAGGCCAACAATGCAGGGATCAGGCCGGCGTATGAGCGTGTGCTTGCTATCTTCATGCTTTAACCAGGTTTCTTGCGTGAACGCATGAGGACAACTCTTGTATCTGTGCTTGCCAGAACTCTGCCGAATCTGACGCCTCGACCGTTCTTCCAAAATATGCCAGCTTATGCAACCCCTGGGTTGAATCTTCGCTGGGAGTCAGTTTGGGAAACAAACATTCTGCATTTGTACATGTATGTAAGTATATAGTATGTATGTATGTATGTATGTTCGTATGTAAAAAATATAAATATAAATATATATATATATGACTTCCATATAGTACCTGTGTATGAACAACATAAACAATTATACTTGAAACTAATATAGTGCCTTCAAACCTCATACGGCAGAGCTCTTTTGAAGCGGCAGGCATGTTCAACTACTGCGTGCCAGCTCGATTTCAGCTTCAGTCCGACAATGTCAATGTGGACCCTCAGGCATCCGTCGGCATCAACACACGAAAGTGGTTGGTGTTTAGGGTTTAGGGTTTAGGGTTTAGGGTTTAGGGTTTAGGGTTTAGGGTTTAGGGTTTAGGGTTTAGGGTTTTTGCATCCGC